ATGTAGCACTCTACATAATTATTAACTAAAAAGCAGACCTTACCAGAAGGAAACCAAAACACCACAAGACTGACCTAAACCAATAATTGACTTCTACAAAATTCTTTAGCTTCCTTATAATAAGAAAGATAAGAGGGGCCGGTCGCAACCCCAACTACGTGGACACCTGCCCCTCCCCCCAGAAGTTATTTCAGAGGACAGCACTGAATCTGCAGCTCTGGGAGAAGGACATGTCTGATCAGAGCACATGGGAGCAAATGAAAGGGGAGGAAGAGAGAATGGAGCACATCCTGGCCCGCCAAGTCTTGAGGACGATATTCCAGCTCAGATCAGCCAATCCACAGAGAAGACCACAAGGCAGGTCCCCCCATGAGACATAAAATCCCTCACTGACCCATAGACTTACAGGGGACAACACTGGAGACACAGTGTGGGGATTCCGCCCGATCTGATCCCACCACACCGAGGCAAAACACTAAAAGGTTGTAACAGAACAGCAAGGGAACAGAGCAACGAAGTCCCCAGGGAACACCAAAATAGACTTTGGGGCCAGGGCTTGGCGCCCCAACAGACTCTACTAGAAAACACTCCTAAAGGCCAACAAACAGTCCTTGCACTAATTGCAAGATTTTCTTTCTTGTGTTTTGTTTAGGTTTTTGTCATTGGTTTGTTGTTGTTGCTTTGTTTTATTTTGTTGCTTGGTTTTACTCTGTCTTGTGTTTGTGCATGTTATTATCTCCGCGGGTCTATCTTAATAAAATAGGCTGGATGAACAATCTGGAGAAAACAATGGGCTGACAGTTCCGGGGGGACATGGGAAAGGTTGAGGGAAAGGTAGTGGTGTTAACAAACCCAGGGGCAAGGGAACAACAGGTGATCCAAATCGGTGGTGAGGAGGGACTAGGAGGCCTGGTAGGGCGTGATGAAGGGTAATGTAACCAAGAGGAATTACTGAAACCCAAATGAAGACTGAGCATGATAGTAGGACAAGAAGAAAGTCAAAAGAAATAGAGGAAAGAGCTATGAGGCAAAGGGCATTTCTAGAGGTCTAAATAAAGGCATGTTCATATGTAAATATATTTATATATGAGAATGGGGAAATAGATCTATGTGCCTATATTTATAGGTTTGGTATTAAGGTAGCAGAAGGACATT